TAGCTAGATATTCCATATACTTATGGACTACGCCAGAAATGCAGACCCTGCCGCAACATATGCGAGTCAAGGACTATCGGCACCATTTGGCACACCGGGAGCAACCAACGCAGCGTTCACCTAGGCAGAAACCGCACCCGAAGCAGCCCAGGCGGCAGCTGGCAACCTGATGATGGCATTCCGACAGCTAATCATAATCCACTCGACGGAATCGGGGATCGAAACGGACAAGAAATATGACCCAAAGCTTATCAGGGAATACATAGCCGTCCAGCGGGAAAAGCACAACGCCTAAATCAGACTCCTACCGCATCCGATTCGCTTCCCGAACACCTTATGCAGACTGGAATCCTTAGAAGGAGGGTACACCATATAGCAGTCCGCCATATTATCCTTTTTCCGGGAATTAGCAACGGCTTAACCTGCGAACGCCGCCGTTATCATGAATAAGGCAACAGAATACCATTTGCCATTCTGATCTCAGGGGATCAGTAAAATGCCGCCAGAGAGGACCATAGATAGAAGACGAAATGGAGACTGGCTTCTCTAGGAAAAGCCCACTTTCGTGTTGTCCACTTTTTATTATTTTTTTTCCCACTCACCACTTTCTTTACCCCGCACAAAGGCTGATTCTTTAACAAAAATCGGCCACCCAACAGATACAATATACAGGGCACTCGGGGGCATATCGTGCACCTATCCACATTCATTTATTTTATCGATCCATGTATATAGCGACTCGAGATTTTAAAGTTGCTCCAGTATCGGAACATGGATATTGCAATCATGCAATACCATAAACCCGGAACGGAACAAACAGACCCCCGAGTCACGGGGGAACAACTATATTAGGAACTCAAGTAGCTACATGAATCGAACACATTTCACACCACTTTGCACAACGTATATACTAAGAATCTAGGACGAACCATACCCTTTTCCAGTGTATATAGTGCAACGTGTGAACCCTGTCCTTTCAACGTAGTTGATCGTCAGATACGATATTTAAATAGGATAAGGAGAAACAAGAATCATTCGAGACCCTAAAGGACCTCTTTATCTCTGCACCAATATTAGCTTATTTCCGAGAAGACACCGAAACAATAGTAGAAACAGACGCATCTAGATGGGCGATAGGAGCAGTCTTATCCTAAAGATAAGAAGATAGGACGCTAAGACCATGCGCCTATCTCTCGCGTAAGTTCTCACCTATAGAGACCAATTATATGATACACGACAAGGAATTACTCGCTATTATCTATACACTATAGGAATAGAAGCCAGAGCTAAAGATGGTCCCGCGATTTATGGTCTTAACAGACCACAAAAATCTACGATATTTTCATAAGGCGCAGGATCTAAGCGAACGACAAATAAGATAGGCAGACATCCTGGCCGAATTCGACTTTAAGCTATAATATCGACCCGGGAAACAGGCGATCCAACCAGATGCTCTATCCCAGCAAGGATAAGACAAACCTAAAGGAATCTCTGATAAGAGGCTCACGAATCGTTTCCGGAAACTCTTCGAATCAGTAACGATCTATAATAATAGCACTAAACCAAGTCCACCTTTAGACTTTGATATACTAGTAGCGATGTTTAAAGAAGCAGAAACGTAGGAAGCATAGAATAACACACGGAAGGAAGATCAAATATACCAGCAGTTCGCACTCGCACTTAAAAAAGGAGACCGACGAATCCCTGCCGAATCGAACCTGAAAATAAGCCTATCCGAGTATGACTTAGATAAACAAAATCTTCTACGCTTTAGGAAAAGGATATAGATTCCAGACAACGAACTACTACGCACAACCTTGATCTAGAAGGTCCACGATTCCTACACGACTAGACATCTAGGACGGGACGCAACCTATATAATACTAGCCCATAGATTCTTTTAGCTAGGAATGACGAACAATATATAGAGATTCTTAAGGAATTACACTATTTGCGGACGAAACACGATTTAGAGAGATTCGAAGCAAGGCCTACTTAAACTATTACCAATTCCACAACGAATCTAGGCCGAACTATCTATGGATTTCATCACAGAACTTCTACCTACTAGGAAAGAAAGAGCGACGAATTGTCTAGTAATTACTGATCGGCTATCTAAAGGAGTGATCCTAATAGATATGCATAGTATTACTACAGAAAGCGTCACAGATGTCTTTATAAAGCATATTTATATATATCATAGTTTACTAATAGCGATCACTAGTGACCACGGCCCATAGTTTATAGGGGGGTTCTAGCGAATTGTGTGCGAAAAGCTAAAGATTCGACGCCGATTATCTACCGCATTCTACCCCTAAACTAATAGAGCTACAGAACGCGTAAATCAAGAAGTCGAACGAATTCTACGCGCCTTTACTACATACATATAGGACGACTAGGCAAGTTTACTACCTATTATAGCCATGGCGATCAATAACCAAGACGTAACCTCTACTAGACTATCTCTATTCTTCTTCATACACGGATACTATGTCGATCTAGTCGAAGTGATAGAAGTCTAAGCAGAGAGAGGACCAGAGATCGTAGCGGAAACGTTCACGAACCAGCTACGAGACGCCACCAATTAGGCAAATATAGCGATGGCTATCGCCCAAGAACACCAACAGGAATAAGCGAATCGTTTAAGACGAGCCGCTCCAGTCTATAATATCAACGATAAAGTATGGCTAAACCTACGGAATATACACACGATACAGCCTTCAAAGAAACTAGACTGGCTTCACGCCAAATACATAGTTCTAGAAGTGCCATCCTCTCATACAGTGAAGCTGGATATGCCAAGCGGCATACACCCTATCTTCTATGTTGAGTTAATAAGACCCGCGGCAACAGACCCGTTACCGTCACAAATCGTGGACGATTCGCAACCGCCTCCGCTATTAGTCGAAGGAGATCTAGAATACGAAATTGAAGAGATCCTACAAGCAAGGACACAAAAAATTGGACGTGGATCGCAGAGGGAAGCATTAGTGAAATGGCGAGGATACGCAGAACTGACATGGGAACCTATCGACGCAATGGAAAACTGCATAGCTCTCGACACCTTTGAACTACGATACGGACCAATTACGACTTCGAATGGACCCCGGAAAACAGGAGAATAGGAGGGGGGTATTATAACAGGTTGAATCCTGGTGAACTATCACGTGGTTGTACCACGTGACCCACCAACCGCATACCTCACGATTCCACCCCGAATTGTTCACGTTCTTCAAGGATTTTGTAAATAGCATGTGCCTAGCTAGTTCTGAATTCAAGATTAGCTTTAGCCCTTCACAGAGACTAGCTATGGACATGTGGCAATATAAGGGATGCGGGTGCGGGTGGCACATGACGAGCATGAGTGGCACAGGCATGAATGCTAAAGCAGGCACCAGCCTGTTACAATAGCCCCCTCCTATGGGTCGTCGTCGTCGGAGGCGATGTAAGCTGGAGTTCTAGAGCGGGTTGGGGTTGGTGAACGGCTGGATCGTGGGCTAGTTAAATAGCAATCCTTTATATAATGTGTTTCGGAACCGCAATAATAACATAGACCTAGGAACTATCGCGTATCGTGGCGTACTTGGGCACGTTCTTGGGCCTGTCTCTCGGGGACGATGTATGGTTGGATCTGAGCTGTTCTTATCCTTACTTGGTTGCTTGGTGAAATCGGGCGGGTCTTAGTAGTGTTGACTGATAAGTCCATTGGTTCGAGTTGGTTTATGAATTGACTAGAGGTAGGCTGGTTCTGGGACTGGTTCTGGGGTTTCTTCTGGAAATTTGGCTGATTTCTGGGTTCTGGCTGGGTCTGGAATCTTGGCTGGCGACGGTCGTATCGTTGTAAAAACTCGATATAAGCTTCATACGAAAGGCTAAATAGCGAATCGCTAACTTGTTCGAGGGTCTCGCGAAGAGGGCGACGGAGTCCACGGTGAAGTGTGGTTATCGCGAAAAGCGCCTGGTCCACGAGACCTATACTTGCTTCATGCGAAAGGCGTTCAAATCTAGCTAGATAGGCGATGAGGCTTTCATCATCTCTCTGCCGGATATTGGCGAATCGAAGAATATTCTCTTGTTTCTCGCGGGGGTTATAGCATAGACGCTGAAAGTACTGGAAGATCTGATCGGGGTTGGCTTTATCTTGAAGATGTAACACTGATGCTTGTTGAGGTGGTTCTAGGCGATTATAGATATAGTTGAATGCTTGTCGTCCTGTAAGGCCATCGGCCTCTAACTTGGCTTGTATTGCTGGGAGCCATGTACGTAGTGTGAAGGGCTTGCCGTCAAATCGGGGTGGGTCAGGAAGATGGTAATGCTGGTTCTGGTTCTGTTGCGAAGCGATCGCTAATAACTGGTTTTGCTGGTCTAAAAGCTGCTGCTGCATCTGCTGCACAAGAGCTAAAAGGTTGGTCTGGTCCATCGTGGAAAACTGGCGGTTCGTGTACTTCTCGAAAAAGAACCGGAACCGAATCGAAAAGGAAGCTTAATAAATGTGAAGGGCTAATACTAATCTTGAATGCAGAACTAGTGATGCCGACAAACTGTCTTTATTAAGCTTGAAGAGAAGAGAGAGAGACTAGCTATGGACATGTGGCAATATAAGGGATGCGGGTGCGGGTGGCACGTGACGAGCATGAGTGGCACAGGCATGAATGCTAAAGCAGGCACCAGCCTGTTACAGAAACTACTTGAATGCTAGAAATTGAATATTTCTTAGTTATGAACCCTAGTAAATATCTGAATATATAACTACCCTAAGAAATAAATATCTAAGAATAATCAGCTAACAACTTCTAATCCTAATTAGGAATATTGTATAAAGGTGCGAATATTCGCGAATAAAGGGGTTTTATTCGTATTCGCATTTGTTTTATTCGCGAATATTCGCATATTTGTGCCGAGCTCTAAAGAAAAATAAAGGGATATGGATTAAAAAATCGCGGCAGAAAAATAATGAAATCTAATATACCATAACAATAGTAAACTAAGCGAAAGCTTCCCTATTTCCTAAAAGCCCCTAATTTGACCCGAGAGACTCGAGACATTTTCTCGAGAACAGGCGTTTCCATACGAAGGATTGTTTCCCGGTAGCAGGTCCCCGTCATCCACTGGTATGAGCATGCAATAGCCCGTTGCATACCTCCCTCCGCTGCACACAGAAGAAGAACACTCGGTGGTCGTGCTGCTTCAAACAGAGTAACAGTCATCGTATTGGTATCTATCAGTGTGAAGATTCTCATCCTATCAGAGCCCTCGTTCCTCGCAGCTTGCTCAATTTTTGTCCGAATTATCGAGTCGTTTATTGGGTCTTGTCCTGCACACTCATTCGAATCATTTTTGTCGTGTCGAGACAGGGAGGAACCATTTGGGCTCCAGTGGAATCGATGCATTCGGGCACCGAATATTTGAGACTCGATTGTCTCCAAATCTGCATATCCTTCAAATCCAAACAGCCAGGCTTGGGAGCCCCCTAGTTGAAAATTGGTAAGTTTTGCTAAGCGAAAATGACATAGTTGGACCGCCAACTTACAGAACTTCCCGCGATATAAGAGGCGAGTGAGGTATGGTGAAAGAACAAACGTTGCCAGCGCAACGATAACAAGTATAAGACCAATGACTTGAAAGAATTGTGACCAAGAAAGAAGAGCACGGATTTTATGTAACAAGTCAGTACCAGGGACGTCATTAGCGGAGAAAATGCCATTCAAATTAGTCAAATGTATCAAATCTGTAGCGTTTTCCAACATTGGGATATTGGATACCCAATCTGTGATGTTTTTTCCGATGTCGACAATACCCGAGGTAATCTTTCTTTCAATTTCGATAATACTCGAGACATCCGAAGCTGTAGTATTGAGTACATTGATAGCATGTTTAGTCGTTTTCCATAATATTATGCCTATAGCGAGAAAGAACGGGGCTCCATGAAGTAAAATCTGGTTGAAAATTCGCCCGGCTGAGCTTGCCCGTCGGGCGTTGACTTTACGAAATCGATCCCAATGGATTGTAGCACCAAAGGCTGCATCAACTAGGACGGTATCATCCTCGCAGATACCAGCAATTTGGCAATATGGCTCAATGTCCCAGAGAGAAACGCCATATCCATCCGAAACACAATACCATGGCTGGTAGCAATCCTTAGGTAAAATGCACATCAACCTCTCAAGTATACGATCGCTATCATTGGCAAGAGAAAGACGAGCGAAGGCCTGGAATTCGGAATCACTACCGTCAATTTTTGGTCGCTGGCTAAGGAGACCCATAAGCGCGTAAGATTGATCACCCTAAGAAAATATTATGAATGCGGATTTCAGACCGGATACAGCACAGCCAAACTCACATCTAGATATTTTCCAGCTTTCCTGGCAAAAAGACAGCCCAAGGAAATGCTTAAAAGCTGAAGGGAGCCGAGGATAAGATTCCCCGCGTAGTGATCGAGAAGTTGCCGACTGCTTTCGGGATCATTCCAGAAATATGCCGCTAGCCGGTTCTTGGGAAGATCTAAAATGACGTCCCCTTTATTCTTTTCATACACCTTCATATTTTCATTCCTGCATAGCAAGACCTCGGGAAATGTCCAAACTCGTTCTCCCCATTGACGCAGAAGCATCCGGATTCTCTCTTCCTCGTTCTGCCATGGCTCTGGCGCATTCTCTGATGGCGTGCCAATAGCAATCACCACCGAATGAGCTCCGCGAACGATATCACTGATACGGAAGACTTCATTTTCCACATCATTGTCGTCCATACAAGCTGAGCCAAGCCAATAGGCCGGTACTTTCGCATCTCTAGCTGCTTTCAGGCCAATTTTGTGGATAGCTGCTTTATCATCGTCTGAATTGCTGAATTGTGCTGCTGTATAAGCGACAAAAATGTATTCTGGACACTTCTTGTAAAGGCTTTTGTTGCTTGGGTCATTCTTCCAGCTCTCCACCGACCGGGTCTGTGCCCACTCTTCGCCTATATCAAAACACAGAGTTTGCGGTTCAAGAATTCGATTCATGTTCGAAGAGACGGTAGCAGATGATGCCAGTGAAGGCCTCGAAGCTGAACTCAATCTGCTTCCTTCAATGGTGTTGCGGGCAACTTTGCAATATCCCCAGTAACGGTAGGGAAATGGGTCGTAATTGCCGGAGTTCAAAATTTGGCCAGTGGATGCAACACCTGGGACACCTACCTGATAGTGTTACGTGTGTTAGTGTGGGAAACGGTAGGACAGCTAATCCTGATGAGATTGACTTACTACTGTGGACAGTAAAGCAACTGAAATGGGCCACTTTATCAGGAGCTCAACAGAGGACATCATTCTCTTGAAACTCCTGGTTTCCGAGTCTACCTCATCAAGTCCACTCATCGGCCAGTTAGCTAGTCTCAGTGTAAGGGGTGCAACATTTCGAATAAAAGTTCTCTTGTAAGTGGAGTTCTGAGGCCCACGATAGACTTGATCGGTGCACTGAACGACCAGCTCCTTGACGCGACCATCGGCAGGGTCTAAGAATCGGTCATCCGAAGAGCCGAAGTAGACACGCTGAAAGTTGTCTTTGTGCCGATACTCCGTCGTTTCATTGAAGCTATATCCGGGTTCTTGATACGAATGCGGGTAGGCGCCCATTTGATATTTCGCTGACTTGGAGAAGAAATTGCCTATGTAGCCACTCAAGGGGACTCGGGCGACATTACTCTAATTGAAATAAACATAAATAATTATTGGATTGAGCTTTATTGTCCAACAGGAAATTCACATGAAGAAACCATCTGCCACGTACCTTTGTCCCATTCTTGGCAATCTCCATATCTTCCATCTCATAATACTGCTATGATTTCAACCTATTCAACAAATTTTCCCGGAAACCAGATTTCTTCTTGGTTTTACTAACCTCAAATACAGAGGCCATGTTCTTTGAGTCGTACTGTTGGTTCAAAACACCCTACGTCCTTAGTTGAACTGACTCTCGTAAAGCTCAGGGAGTGACTGTACCTGCTGCTGAGATGACTCAACATTCTGCTTTTCACCATTTTCGTTTGTTGGTACGCTTCTCGAACCAACGGAAACAGGACCAATGGATTGCGATGGCGATGAGTAGCCTGTTTGACTTACGGGCACCTTTTCAAGTTAGCCTGGGTGCGATGAGTCGAGTTAATATGAAATATTTTACTTACCGATGCCGTCGACGAGTCGTTGCGCTTTGAAAACATTGAGTAAGGATCAAAGCTACCTCCATGCGCATCGTTTCCCTTAGGTTTAGACTGAAGATTCGTCAGCTATGGATATGAACGGTGATTTTGTTGTGTCTTCCTCACCATGACTAGGACCTAATTATTCGTGAATCCAAAAAATAGATGTTAAGCGTTTGGTGCAAATGCTTGATTTAAACCATTACAGTAAATAAGCTGGATCAAAAGCTTGGCTTTATATTATTACTTTGAAGAGCCTCCTTAGAACAGAATGGTTCGTAATTTATTTCCAAGGTGGGATGCCTAGCTCGTCATAGATGCCCAAGGCTGCGATGCTTCTGCCCGCTGACCCAGGAAATCTTTGCGCCAACATCACATCCATAAGTCCTCAGATCCCCCTCCCGCCTTCCGTCCAAACTCCCAGCCCCTGCAATGCAACCATGTGCCCCTGCAATGCAACAATGTGAGTCGTGTTCCATTTTGGGAGTGATGGCCGACTCGCGAGTGGAGGTCCTACGCTCTCAGGAGTAAGGGCCGATGCATAGTACTATCAGGGCCGTGTGGCCAGGGCAGAGCAGGATACATCTCACCTAGATAATCAACGGTAAGTCGCAACGACATAGTTCGCCCAATACCCGATTAGGTTTAGTCTACGGGAGCTATTCGTACACACACTATGTGGGCTGTTGCCGAAGTCACAAGCTGCAGGTAGTACGCACGCACACATTTTTTAGACTGTACACTCTTCAGCCGCACAAGCTAAATTGGGGCCCCAACCCTATGCATTAGAGTTCAGAAACCACAAACACGGGAGCTGCTAAGTGGGCGCGGTCTTCCCAAAGATCTGTGCGTCTTTATCCAACAGTGAATTTTGCTCTTATTATGTATGCTACACGCCAATCGAATTCCCTGGAATGATGCTCTATCATGTATGCCCATACACGCCTATCGGATTCCTTGGAATGATGCTAAATTCTCTAGCAGACCTACCCACATCTGCACCCGAAAGGTAAAATACAGGGCTATGCTCTTTATACCAAAGGCTCCGCCGGGTCCTTTAGCGCCTTTTGATTTATCATAGCGTTTCAATAAGAGAGTCAAGATTTTCTGCCAAGATCTTCGGTCACGAGAGGACTTTCGAGGGCTAGGGCGAGATCATAGGTAGGGCTCGTGACTTCTCTTCTAAGAGAATCCACGAGCTCGGAATTAGTAAACAGCATATACGACCATTGATACTCATATAATATCTTAATATTTACTTGAGGCCTTCAACAGAGAGCCGACGAAAATACGACGATGACTTCGATTCCGAACGAACAGTACTACGAAGCGTTTGAGTTACGCAGCAGACTGAGCTCGGAGGATGTATGGCAGCCTGGTGAATACTTCGGATTTGAGTGGCTGGAGAGTAAGCAAATCAGCTCATCAAGACACAAAATCCGTACCCGTGCGATTACTAACCATGAAAATGGAAAAGATGAGCGAAAGGGGAGAGTTATGCCATCCTTCACGATAGATCAGCTTTCGGAGCGCCCTTTCTGCCCCCTTCGAATCATGTGAGTCATCTACTGATGATATCTAATTGACGAAGCTACTTATTAACCAGACAGATTCGTGCCACTTGATTATCCAGATGCAGAAACGGGGCCCGACATTGTCAAATTGTACCGGCATTACTCTATTCCTGGCGCTTTTGTGTCCGAAAGATTACGGAACGTTTCTTGTTCATTCGGCACAGCTGATGGTAGAGAGGAAACTCATTGTATGTAATTACTCATCTAAAGCGCACTTTTAGCTAACAAAGTAGATTCCTGGTTTCACTTTTTGTGCAAGGATGTTCCCCTGTTTGTGGGCCCAGACGGTATCAAAAGAATCGTCAATCGTAACAAGAAAGGCATGAGAGAGATCAGTCAAGGCGATTTTGGCTGGGTTCGTTCTGCATACTGTCTCTTAGAACGCGATATTCCAAACAGTGCCACTCCAGAAGTAACATTGATTACATTTGGTGCCGAAAGAGCACTTTATGAGAGATTCAAAACCATATCTGAGAATAGCTCATATCAGGAACTTGTTAAAGATCCTTACTGCTTGTTCAATCCTGTTTTCGAATCTCTGTGTGCCCGTTTGGACAAGCTAACATGGAACATTGCAAGTATATATACCCAAGAAGAATTTGTAAGTGTTCTATATACTAGCAATGGGTATATTAAAGCATATCCTGATGAATTCTTTTTAGAATGTACTTCACATGGCGGAAGGCACGTCACAGTTAAATGAACTCAACTTAGATTTCCCTGGATTACATATGATTCAGAGAACACAGATCTACCTTCGCGAAGCGATTGAGTCTATCACAAATACATTAGTTGCGGTGATGGATCAGCATCATCGACTAATGGAAACCTCTGGTTTGACTTTATCCTATTATAAATCCACACAGGCGTATCTTCGATATCACCAAACCATTCTCAAATCCACTGATTTAAGACTACAAAGTCTTGAAAAGAGGACCAAGAGTACTATCAATCTTGTGAGTATCTTTTGATAAGCTCGCATTTCGATCAAAATCAACAACCTTCTCGTAGAAGTCTCATGCTCATTTCAAGGGTCATATTACAGGCAGGATGTTTCAACCTTTCTAACTCTTCCATAGGCCTTTAACTTAGTCACCCAACTTGACTCGAGGATCATGAAAGGTGACAGTGCTGCAATGAAGAGAATTTCCATTCTCACTATGATCTTTCTTCCCTGTAACGCTGTGGCAGTAAGATAACCCCTATTCCATGTATCTCCATTTGTTGAAACAGCATACCAACTTTCCTAGACATTTTTCAGCACACCTTTTTTCAACCTGAGTGATGATTCTAACCGGCTGGTTGTTTCCTCATCTTTCTGGACGGTATGGGCAGTCTCAGTGCCGCTAACTCTAGTGACCGTAATCATCTTTTTTTTCTGGTCTAATGAAGCACGCGAACTCTGGGCAACCCTTTTCAAACGGAATGGTAGACCAGTACCATCGGACGAGGAGCTAATTGAGGTCAATATTGATGTGACAGAGCAATTTCTTTGAATTTAGTAGAGGTAGAAGCTCAAAAGTCTTTGGGGTCATGTATGCTATCTCGTTATTGAAGTTACTCGCACTATATAGACTATTACATGATCAGGATCGTTCCCTATGGAATTTCCACATAGTCGGCAGCTTCCCATAGCCAAAAATTATATTCCTTCCATCTAGCGATCTGAACATCTTCACATCTTTAGAGTTGAACATCAGGCGATTTGAGAACATAATCTTACCACAAGAGTGTATACCGCGATGGCACTTGGCGTTCGTTACAGGGACCTCACATCACATCATCTCTGCACCACAATTTCATCTGCTGGTCTTAGTAATGCTTACCACGATTAGACATGTTCATTGGGTTGGGTAAACCCATACCCAACCCATGCACATGTCTAGATAGAAGCGTATAGAATAGAGGGGGTTACATATCGCGGAATCTCGCATCTTCGCCTCAAAATGCCAGCAGATTTTGACCAATAAGAAAAATAACTCATAACAGAGCCGGAGCGATGACTCGAGGATCATCAGGGGCTGAAAACCTACCCTACAAGAAGAGATAATACAGAGAAAAAAACGCATACCTCTGATGTTGTTCGTTGATTTAGTCGTGAATACTGAGTCACTTAGGAAACTCTGTGGACCAGGGATGTGATCCCCTTATCAGTATAAACTTTGAATTTCTAAAATCAGCCTTTGATCAAGTGAAATGAGAATCTCCCAGTTTGACTCAGTTCATTTCGAAAATCGGTTTATCAGCACACCGCAAAAAAGAGATAGTTCTTAGAACCTACTTTACGTGAAGTTATTATATACAATACCAATTTAATAAGAAGGTAGCTCTGATTTTCAAGCCCGTTGGATTTAAGATTTATTTTCCCGAACAGGGATATAAGGCCGAAGAGCCTCTATGGTCTTAGTAGGCGACAGGCCCACCTCGGCCCCTGCTACGGCTGAAAATACCAGCATTGACCCCTAGGCCAACACCACCTAACGGCTTAGGTCAGGGTATTTGATGCATCAGATTTCTTTCGAGGATATATCCCCGAAAACACGTAAGTATAAGACGGGTAGGACTCCACTTTGAAGCCCCGCTCTATACCTTATTAGGTAGGAGCCACGCAAATACACAAACAGAACACAGCTCGGCTGACAGTGGGGCGAAACTCGGATGACGGTTAATTTTCGGATATACTGTGTTTCCTAACCCATGGGGGTTGCTGGGATGGACTCTTCATCCCATTTCACTATCCAATCAAAAGTGTCGAAAAAGTGGGGAGGTGAGTCCATCCCAATTCAGAACTCGAGCCCATCCCATTTACTTTTAGGGCTCGTACGAGGCTGAAAATTTCACAAGTTTAAAATAAGTATGTTTTCTTAGGGTATTAGGGTACTTGGGTACTGCCTAGCAAGTCAGTGGGGACTTAACAGATCTATAAATGACCTCTGATGCCCCCGAAATTCAGGGTCAATTCTTATCGAAAAATCTATACATCTCTTGCACATCACATTTCCACCTCCCAGACATTCACAATGAAGTTTAACTGGATCGCTTCAACCCTCCTCCTGGCCTCTGCCGCCATGGCCAGCCCCCAGCTTGATCTTGACGACATTATATCCCAGGCCGAATCCGTTGGCACAGCCATCGCTGGCGATGCCGTCACAATTGGCGCAGAAATCAGTGCCAAGGCCACTTCCATCTACAACGAGTGGAAGACCGGTGGCGAGGCCGCTATCTCCACCTTGACCGGCGAAGCCAAGTCCCTCGCATCCGCCATCGTCTCCGAGGCCAAGAGCGAAGGCTCTGCCGCCGAGTCTGGGGTGGGGTCGGTTGCTTCGGATGCTGCTTCCCTCGCTTCTGAGGCTGCTAGCAAGCTCTCCACTTGGGTCGCCGCTATCACCACTATAAACAGCGATGGCAAGTCCACCACTGAACAGACAACCTTTACCTCTGCTGTCGCTGTCGCTACCAGTACCAACGCTACCGATTCCACTGCCACTACTAGCTCAGAGTCAAGCTCTACCTCGACTGGCTCAACCTCTATATCCACCGGCGGCGCTATGTCCCAGCCTACTGCCGTCAGTGTTGCCGGAATCCTTGGTGTTGGTCTTCTGGGTGTCATGGCTGCTCTCTAAAGGGAGTGAGATATCTGTCTATATCATGTTACATCTTCCGTCTTATATATATCCGACATATGACCTATTAAAGCTCCACTATGGATATTAAGTTCTTATGCCTCTCACGACTTTATTGATCCGCGCTAAAATTGTGTACCATGGCAAGGAAACGGTTTCATAATACTTAGGGTATTAGGGTA